GGGGGGGGGGGGGGGGGGGGGGGGCGGGGAGCTGAATATTCTGTTTGTTGGTGATATGGCCAATGTGTCACAAATTCACAGAACTTTCACAGGACAGATGTGGCTCTCAAATGACAAATATCGAATTCTTCTCAGGAAAAATGGGTTGAATTTTACCACCTTAAAGTCCAAATTATCATTTTTAACAGTTTCCCCTACATAGTAATATTTCAGCTTTTCTCATGGATAATTTCACTTTATTCTCATGACAACCCCTGGAGAAGGTTGAATGATTTCTTCTAATTTTGCACATGAGGAAATTGAGACATGGAAAGGATTCACGGGTTTGTCCAAGATCCTGTGGATGATGAATGTCTGGCTCAAGACTAGCATGCTGGTCCCCAGGAACTCTTCAGGAGCCCTCATTCTCCATTAGAAAGAAAAGGGCACAAATAATATTGTCAAACCTGTCAATTCACCGTTGTCTGAAATGAGTGTGGTCACAAAATGTAAAACTTGCTTATTCAAAAAATTGTTTTTTTTCTCCTTACTTTCTAGGTCCTGTGGATGATCAAGTCTGTTTAGGAAAATCTCCTGGGGAAAAGCGTAAGTGTGAGGAAGAACCTCTTTGGTCTCTGTTAGGGCGGACACGATGTTACCCTTACTGGGTGTTATATCCTCTGACGCTTTAAAAGACATCTGAGCCAGAAAAAGCCTTTCAAAAATGCTTTTTAAAAGTGATTTAACTTTTTTTCAACACAGAACAGTTTCCGTACTATAAACGTGACATGCTGTAACCATTAGAATTAGGTTGCTGTGTATGACAGCAAATCCCACCCAACTTTAAAAAAATAAATAACATAAGTAGATAATCAAGAGAGGTTATTTCTCTGTCCCACACGGAGGCAGGAGGTCGAGAGCTGGTGACGTACACTGTAGAGTCCCGGCTCGTCCTTGCTTGTTGTCCCCCCATCCTCAGCATGTGGCGTCCCCTTCACTGGGGTCCAGCCAGCAAGTGTGCGTTCCAGCCAGAGGGAAAGCGTCAAGGTCAGAGAAGGGCACGCGTCCTCCATAGAAGGACACTATGGGCAGGTTGCATTTAGTAATTCTGCCGCTAGAACTGGTTGTGTGGCCACATCTGACTTCAAAGGAGGCTGGGAAATGTAGTCTTTATTCTAGAAGAGCGGGTTTCCAGCTCAGAATCAGGGGCTTTATTCCTCAGGAAAAAGGGAAACCAGAGAAAGTGGAGCAACCAGCACTAATCGTCCTGCACACGTCTGTGGTGGGCATTGTGGCTGCTCTGCACTATTTCTGGTCCTCCCCTGCTTCCCGGACCCTTGGAAAGCCACATGGCCATCCTCCTTGCAGAAGGCAGCTCCATGACATTTGTTTTCCAATGAGCTGAAGAGATGGGTGTCACTCCTGGGTCCAAGTACGTGAGAGGAAGGTCCCTAAAGGCCAGAGCAGCGTGCACCTCCCCCAGGTAGAGGACAGCGCCCTGAGAGCCATCTGGTCCTGCAGAGGACTTGCTGTGACTGTGAAGTACTTTTTATGTTAAGCCAACAAGATTTGGCATTGTTTCTTTCTCCAACATAGCCTACCCTGTCCTGCATGATACAGTAACCCTAAAAATCTGCAAGAAGTACAGAAAATTATAACTCGGGAAGTTAAGCAACTGTTCAATCTGCTTCCCCGACCTTATTTTCAGACCTTATAAATATACATACATTTTTCTTTATATATGCATATTTAAACTTATACTATATAGTCTATTCTATAAAACACTTTTTTACTGTGCATTTAATGTTATCCACTTTCTGTTTTTAACCTCACAGCACAATATCGTATGATTAACCAGTTTGTTAATAATCACCTATTGATGGACACTTAGGTTATTTCCTATTTTTATACGAAAATAGAAATCACATTTGCATGTGTGTGTATGACTGCACATTTGTCCAATAATTTCCTTAGCACTGATTTCTAAACACGAGATTACTTGGTTAGCATCTGAATATCTTAAAATTTATACATTGCCAAATTGCCCTCGAGAAAATGTAATAATTTACATTCCCTTTAGCAATATATGAGTGCTCTTTTTCTACATGCTGAACATGATAAAACTTTGTAAATGTTTAGGTATTAAGACCAGACAATTCATTTCTTTGATTATTAGTGGTGTAAAGATGATTTCCAAATCAATTTGTCATTTATATTTCCTACTTGAGTATTTTTAACTTATGCTGACTACCCATTTTCTTAGAGTACTATTCATCTTTTGCTTTATCTGGTAAGGATATTCACCTTCTACATGTTACATATATTGCAATTATTCCCATTTTGTTTCTGTTTTATTATGTTGGGGTGTTTTCTGAGAGATGGACATTTAAAATGTTTTAAACAGTCAAATCTGATATCTTTTACCTGTATAATTTCTGGCCTTGAATTTTGGCTCAGAAAACCTTTTAGTATCCATCACTTATAATAATCTTTCTGTATATTTTCTTTTAGTCTTAAACAACTTGCTATTTATTTACAATGACATATTTTAAGTGTGACTTACTTAGCATATCTCTGTCACATCTTTCTCCAGTGCTTTTCACTTCCCTGTCATGTGGAGGACTTTTCTCACGTACGTCTCATTGTGTTCTTGTCTCTCCAAAGTGATGGGAAAGCAGAAAAAATTTTACTTAAAAAGTGTTGACATGTCAGGCTTGTAGATCAATATTCGTCGTCATACAAGATTTTTCTTTATTTTTTTAGAAAAGAAGAGGAAAAGAGATGGCAGGTCCAGTTCAACAAGAAAACAGAAACAAAGGCTCCTGAGAGGTAAGCAGGAAAGTGAAGTCGTTACTCCCTTCATGTTGATCAGGGTCCTCACTTGACCGACCAGCATGGCCTCCACCACTTGTCCCTGGAGCACGGTCAGCCCCACCCCTGTCCTCTGGGCCTCCCCCTCAGAGGACTCCTCCCTGCAGAAGAAGAGAGAACCCAACACTGAGTTGGTTCAAACGCGGCCTCCTTTTCTCTCATAGCGGGGAGAGAATGGGGGCTGGGGCGCACATAAGGCGTCAGACAATTTTGAGATTAGAATTGTGTCCAATCCAGGGTCAGAGTCAGAAAGGAAGGAGACGAGGAAGCTGATCTGCAAGCAGGATTCAGACTCCCAATCCCAAACTGGAATTAGGTTGGAGTCATGGAGCATTCAAAATCCCCTTAGTCAACCCATACCTGCCTCCCATGCATCTACCCCAATGCACGAAAACTGTTATTTGCAATACAGAAAACAAAAATTCATAAAACTGCAGTTTTCTGGCTGCTCTGCTTCCTCCCTCTGTGGTCTTCATCACCTTTTCTCCTCCTCTGCCTTCTATCCCCCTTCGCTTTCCCTGTTCCTTTCTCCTTCCCTTTTTCTTTATCTTTTACTCAAAACTGTTTACCAAGGGCCCAAGGTGTGCCAGTCAGGGGGGTTCTCGGATATTGTGCCCATATGGGGGCACCCTGAGAAGCCATCTCTTCCCAGCTCCCAAACATGAATTGGGACATGAGCCTCACTGCTTTGGAAATTTTTCTGTCTGTTTCCAAAACCCCTCGATTTGGGGGTTTGACCTGGGAGGGAACGCAGATCTGCAGCTTGCCCACGTCCTCCTCTTGTCTCTCCCTTCCGGTTCCCCAACCCTTCCCCCTGCCTGGCTGGAGGAAACTTCCTCTCTGTCATTTGCTGAGTTTTCTCTACTGGTGACTTCTAGGAAAACTTAATATTTAGACTTGTTTGTTTTGGTCTATAAAGGTAAGTTTTGGAACTTAGAAATCCACTTCACTCTTAACAAAGTCTGTGTTTCGAGATTTTTGTCTAAGGTCTCCAAAATGGGCTCGACCAAGCAGTGGCTTCTTCGTTCTAACCAGCATCTGCCCTTCCTCTGGAAACTATTGGTTGAATACTCAGGGAACCCTTTACAATTTACAAGGATGAAAAATACATACTTCTGATATTTTCAGAAATATACTGCCTGTGTACTTTCATTCGACAAAGATGGACTGAGTGTTAGGGCACGAATCCCAGGTCCTGGGGACTCAGCAGTGAGCAAAACAGACACAAATCCCTGCCCTTATGGAGCTCGCATTCCAATTGATAGACAAAAAAAGAGGAGTCGAAGGGGGAAAAGAGAAAAAAGAAGAAGTATTGTTAGTCTGGGGAGAAAGAAAGATACAGACATGAAAAGAGAGAAGTGAGTGAGGTACAGAGATCTGTACCTGCACAGGTGGGGTCTGGGGGCAGAAGAAGGGAGGTCACTAATTGGGGGAGGAGGGAGCTCACTGGGGACCCCAATTTAAACTATTCACAAATCACTGCTTGGTTCAGGGGCAGCCTCACCTGGGCATGGAATCTAAGAAAAGCTCCAAGTTGTAGGTCAGGTGACTCCAAGGAAGGACGACTCAACCTGAAACTTGAAGGTGTTGACAAGGGCCCAAAAGACAAGGACCAAATGTGCCCAGACTTCCAGATCCGAGGATAAGGCTGAGGATAATGGAATCTGCCATTTGTATGGCTACATTTCTAGTAATGAAGTAGCTTTGGCACTGGGTCTGCATGTTTAAAATTAGTACATATTGGTTGCCAAATTGCCAAATTGTTGCCAGTTTACACTCCCATTAACACCATATTTTTCTCTATGTCTCTACCAATGCTAGAAATAACAAGACTTTTCAGTTTGCCAAACTTAAAGGCAAAGAATGATGTTCCACTGGTGTGCTCCTTTGAGTTTCTCTGCACTCTGCAGGTGGTTGGACGTGTGGTAGGTTGTATTACTGCTCACCAATATTCCAGGGCCCCACCTGCTTAGAAGGTTATTCACGCCTACATGGTGGGCTCAGGAATGGCCCCACCACTTGACTTAGCCAAAGAAGTGTGGGCCAAAGTGAGAGCGGTGACTTTCAGGTCAAAGCTTTAAGTCTTTCTCTCTGCCCCGACACCAGCGACATTCTACAGAGGCTGCTCTGTCGCCAGGAGCCAGGAATGTCGATGACATGGGGCTGAGCCTCATCTAATTTGGGATGAACAAGTAGCTTGAGGGAGAAGTAAACCTTTGTTGTGAACCAGAGCTTGGCAAACTTTTTCCAAAAAGGGTTATATAATAAATAATTTGGGCTTTGCTGGCCATATGGTCTCTAACAAAATGACTCAACTCTTGCCTTTGCAGCATGCTAGCAGCCAGAGACAGAAATGTAAACAAATGGCCGTGGCTGTGTTTCAATAAAACTTTATTGACCAAAACAGGCATAGGCCAGTTTGGCTTTCCAGCCATAGCTTACTGATGCCTATAATAAACCACTGAGATTTGGGAGGGTCATGAATGACCACAGCGTTATCTAGCCTAGCTTGACTGATCTACCTGTTTTTAAATAAGTTTGTCATCAGAATTTTTTCTTTGGAGGGTCACCTGTCTGTATTTGCCTGTTCTTATATAGGTCTATTTCTTTTTTGTTTAATCCATCAGGAAAATTGACCTGTTGTTATACTTATTGCAATTTTTCTTCTTTTGTTTGTTTCTTATAACTTACCCGAGAAGCTTTTGGTTGTGGAGACTTTTTTTTCTAGACAAATCAGTTTATCTTTAGCGGCGTGGTTTATGCCAGGGTCTCTCAACCCTGGCACTACTGACATTTTGGACCAGATAATCCTTGGTTGTGGAGGCCGTCTCGTGCATCATAGGACATTTAGCGACATCCTGTACCCATTAGATGCCAGTAGCTGCTGCCTCCCAGTCCTCACGAACAAAAAGATTTTCAAACACTGCCAGATAGTCCCTGGGGGACAAAATCACCCACCACTAATCATCGCTTTATGCCCTGTACTTCTTCCTTAAAAAGCCCTTTTTATGTAATACTGTATTTCTAAGGCTAGACAGTAGTCCCCCCTTATCCACTATTTTGCTTTCCGTGGTTTCAGTTACCCATAGTCAACCAAGGTCCAAAAATATTAAATGGAAAATTCCAGAAATAAACTATCCATAAATCTTAAATTGTGTGTTGTTCTTAGTATCGTGATAAAATCTCAGGCTATCCTGCTCCACCCTAGCCTGGACGTGAATCGTCCCATTGTCCAACATCTCTATGCTGTCCTGTTTGTCACTTAGTAGGCATTTCAGTTATCAGATGGAAGAAATACAGTCTGTCTAGGGTTCAGAACCATCCACGGTTTCAGGCCTGCACTGCGGGTCTTGGAATGTATCCTCTGAGGACAAGGGGGGACTACTGTGCAGACCTTTCTTTACTTTCTTCTATTTGCATTAACTACACATACATACATTAATTTGTGAAAATTTGGCTTCAGTAATATTTTTAGCCTTCCCATCTATCAACGTGAGCTTGCTATCTTTTCTTAGTCGATGCAATAATTTTTCTTTCCTAAAGACTCATATGTACCTTGTTTCTCCAAACTGGTAGAAAGATAAGAAAATTTACTTTAAAATTGTTGACATAGGAGGCTTGTAAATCCATGTTTATAGCTATAAATGATGATTATCATTTGTTTGTTTTTTTAAGAAAAGGAAAGGGAAAAAATACTGGCTCAAGTTCAAAGAGAGGTTTTCAGAAATACAATCACCAGAGGGGCGAGGAAGCCAGCCAAGCCTCGGGCGGAATCGCTCCTCCTCCATCCCGCTGTCCTTGGCCTCCTGCTGCCCTGTCCCTCTCCAGTCTCACACAGTGTCCCCTGAGTGACAGCGCACCAGGAGCGCTGCCTAACCTACCCACACCGCACCTGGTGGCTGTTTCCACCAAAATGACCAAAAGCGATTAAGGGAGCTCACTGAACCCCTCGGTCACGTTCTCATATAAACATCCATTCTAGCAACTGGAGAAAACCCTCCTCCGAGCCCAGCCTGGCCGCGTTCTCATTCCCAGCAGGACGCTTTCTCCTCCTGTGCTGTTCGGGGCTGTGCCGCGCGCTGGTCTCCGAGGGTCAGGCCCTGGGCTGGCTTCTGCCCCTCTGCACTCTCGGTTCTCTTTGGGTCACCGTCGTCCCCTCCTTCCCACTGCTCTTCTTGCATTCGATTCTCTTCTGCTTTTAGACCTTACTTCTTCCACATCATCTCTTGTCGCTCTCTTTTCCTTCCTCAGGCTCCAGCCACATTGGCCTTTTTGTTTTCACTATTGAAGTATAACAGGTGCTACTCCAGGCGGGGTCCCCAGACTGGTGCCATCTACAAGCCTGTTTGTTGCAGGTCTGCAAGAATGAGGAGCTTGCAGATCAACTGGGACGCTAAGCACGCTGTTTTTCATAGCAAGACTCGTCAGTGGAGACAGCAGTGCACTGATTCTAGCCAAGCTCCTCTCTCATCACGGGCCAGTACACTGAGTAGCACTGGTGTGACCTGCTTACAGAAAAATGCATGTGTCCTAAGTGTGCGGCTTGAGGAAGTAACACCCACATACCCAGCACCTAGGTCAAGAAACAGGACATAACCGACACCCACATACCAATCCCTATCCACGCCCCAAGGGTCCCACCAGCCTGATTTCTCACGACACAGGTCAGTGGCCACTGAATGCTTCCCCCTCACACATCCCTACCCAAAGCTAACCCCCACTCCTCCCCCCTGTCTTTGCTGTACACCCTCAGACCTCACCCAAACCTCACCTCCCAAGGGAAGGCTTCTCCATCCCAGCAGGCAGGGCTAGGGCTCCCTGACATGCTCTCGTGGAGCCCTGCATTTTTTCTTCATGGCACTTATAGCAGCTGCAATGAATCATCTTTGTCATCCTGTTTACTGTGTGAAGGTCACTTCAGGTCAGTAAGTGGGTCAGTCTTGCTCATTGCTGTATGTCCAGCTCATCTGTGCCTCACACAGTTTGTACTTAAATAACTGACGAATCGACACATTATTCATTCTTTTTCATCAAGTGTGAATACCAATATCAGAGCCTATGCAATGCATTTGTGTGATTTTTAAAAAGGGGCCCCTTCTGATTCCGGACACCAAACCCTTTGCTGCCCTCTGCTGGAACTTTGTTTACTAAGCACACAAATTGTGTGTCTGACGTGAATCAGGCCACCCCCTTAAAGGTGGAATCCTTGCTCAGTGCACAACCCCACAACCTTATGCAAAGGCTCTAATAACAATATAAGTGTGTACATCACTTTACAATTGGCAAAGCACTTTTCTCTCATTTTTTCATTTAATCCTCACTAAATGTGAGTGTTACCAGCCCATTTTACAGATTCGATTAAGGATGAAAGATTTGCATGAACTAACATCAACCTAGGTGTTCTAATTCCAAGCCCTTTGTTCTTAACATTAAATAGGTGAATAAATAAACCCAGATAATAAATAAACCTTCTAGTCTTTTTATAAAGCACCGAAACACGGAGGGGTGGGGCAGAAGCCCAGGCAAACGCTGACAGTTGTCCCTCAGCATCAGCATCTCCTGCCCCCTTCGCACTTGCGCCCTGTCTGTAACTCCTGACTGAACGCAGGCATCTGTGCTGTTATCCATCATGCGATGCGGGTCTCGTTGCAGCATTTCTGCAACGAGAGAGAGCTAGACGAGGAGCCTGGCGTGTCTGAATTCCAGGGCCAGCTCCACCTCGTGCCGTGTGGTGACCACCAATAATCCCCTCTCCAAATCTGAGCCGAGGCCCCCTGTCTATAAAACGGAGGTGATTGTTGCCTTCTCTTTCTCACGCATTGTTGTAGGATAGATGATTACAATGTGTGGCTGCTCTCCCTCTTTGCTTGACCCCTACTCTTCCTCTGGCCTCCCCATCTCCTCCCCCACCTCCTCCCCAGACCCCTTCTAGACCCCCCGGATCTTTCTCCAGGCCGCTCCTCTTTCCGTGCGTCATTTCACCTGTGCTTTTCCCTGTGTCCAGTAAGAATTCCTGGAGTTAGTCTTCCGGATCACTTATTAGGTTTTTTCCACTCTGCTCTTCTCGTCTCTCTTAAGCTTTCCTTTCCGTTTCCTCCACCGTGCTTTTCATTTCCAGGAACTCTCTTTGCTCTTTAATTGCTTACTTTTCATAGCAGGCTCCTCGTTGTTCACTCACACTTACTAACGGATCGAAATCTCAACTTAGGAAATGGGCTGGCGGATGTCGGTGAGCCCCTAGCAGGCCTGCCCCGCAAGGTGCCTGGGGCCACAGGGGTCCATCCTTAAAGGCCTGTTTGCTGAGATGGGCGGGTGAGGCTGAGCCACACTCAGGCTTCCTGGGAACAGACCAGAAAGCTACCCTTAAGGTTAGGGTGGGTGGCTTTGAAAGTCCTCAGGCCTAAAGGCCCCACCTCACTGGATGACCTGCCTACGCCAGGTAAAGGGGGGTTGACGCATGTGCCCACACCGACTTGCTGCCTCTAGCCCCCAAAGCCACACACTGCTCCCTCATCTGCTTGTGAGCACATCTGGGATACCAGTGTTCCCTAAAGCTATACTTACCTAAGAGAATTAGAGAAGACATTTCCATGGAGATGGAGAACTGTAGGTGGTCCCCACGGCTGTGCTGATAGTGGCCCACAGTTCACCGTAGCCTTACCTTTCACCCATGTTAGGAACCTGCAGCTGCAAATCCTCTGCTCAGGTCTGGCAACAGTAATACCCACTTCAGTGATCCTTCTAGGAAGTTGCAGAGGCAGGATTGCAAGCCCCCTCTCCCTATCCCTCTCAGCCTGGCTCCCAAGGCCATGCTGTCACCCGCTGTGCCATATGTACTGAGTAGAGTCTGGAGACAAAGGGTGGAGCCGGCCACTCCATGCACGTGTGCATGCATACTGCCTCTCGCAGTATGACTCTCTCTGCTTCATGTCTTTCCACAGTAACTGATCATTTATTTGCCATTGGTGCAGCTCTTTCCTTTCTCCAGCAATGCACTTGCTTTTTCATACGCTTTCCACTGGCTCTTTCAATACGTGTTTGAGGCCAGGGAGAAAGTTGGGCCATATGTTCTCCTAGACTCATTTCAAGTGTAACATCCTCTGTAATGCAACATAACACGAGGACAGCCCTTTCCTCCCTCCCGCAGCAAACAGCCCCTGCAGCCTGTGTGTAACGAAGTCACCCACAGTGACGTTGGAGGGAAGGGAGCAGGAATGGCTGATATTTATTTTAAACCCTTTTGCAACTGCTCCTCCTGAATCAGAACCCCAGATCCCTACTCGAAGGTTCTGAGTTGCCAAATCTGTCCATGTGCAATTAGCAGATTAGTCTAGAACTCTCCAGGGTTTTCTTTTATGCCTGGAGGAAGAAACAGAGAAGCGGTAAAATGACAAGAGACAGCAAACGAGGAAGACTGACCCCACCCCCTGTGCCAGCCGTCTCACTCACCCAGGTCGTAGTTCGAATCAGGAAATGAGATCGTATATGAAGACTTTTTCTCTGGCTACATGAATACAAAGCAATATTTTAGGTAGGCACCTTTCATCAGCACAGGAGCTAAGCAGGATGCTGTAGAACAAGAGAACACTAGGTGATGGCCAATTAGTTTGCATATTAAAATACATTCACCGAAGTAGCCCTGTACGTTCTACTAAAATGTTTTGTTTGATGTAGTGTTGCTGGTGGTTTTGATAATGGGAGACCACTCCACACCTAGCTAATCTGCCACCCAAAATGGAAGACTTCCTGCAGACCGACCAGAGGATGTTCTCCAATACCATTTACATTATTATTTTTTTAAACAAAATATAACCAGTATTTATTCATTTGTTAGTTGCCTAAGTTGTTGCTTAATAACATTATTATTATTATTATTTATTGGAATTCATGGAGGGGAGGATTAAAGAGGAAGATAGAATAAGACAGATAATGCTAAACTCTTCCTTCTACTTTTAGGAAAACCCAAAGAGGACACTCTGGATTTTCTCTCCCCTGTACTTCCTGTGACCTGTGGTGAGGCGAAAGGCATTTTATATAAGAAGAAAATGGAACAGGGTGAGCTCCTTGGTCTGCTGCTCTTTGGAGTCCTGAGATGAAGGAACCTCAAGGAGGGAGGAAAATACCTTCCGTGTGTGCAATTGTTCAGGAATGGGACCCTGCTAGCTAGGCTGCTGAAAAAGAAATGCTTCTTAAGAAGGGATTTTCAGACGTGTCCACGTCATGGTTTATCTGCTGGCCCCGCCACCCATTCCCTTGTGGAGGTTGTCCATGAATGCTGCGATTCTGGTCACCACATCCTTGCTTTCTGTAGATGTCATATGAAATGCAGATTCTGTCCCACTCCCTCACCTCTCGGGCAGGTCTCAGGGCTTCCTTCAATCTAAAAGAAGTGGAATCCAGACTCCCCTGCAACTGCTCCCACCTCACACGGGGGTCTCTCTTCACCCTCAAAGGTGGAAGGCCACAGTCAGGAGTTCAGAGGGGGGTGAATTCACAGGGGATTGAGGTGGATCCTGGAATGGGCTGTCTTTTTCCTACAGGATCTTCAGAGAAGTGCATTCAAAATGAGGAGGGAGTTTGGTTCACACCCAAAGAATTTGAGATAGAAGGAAAAGGAAGAAACACAAAGAACTGGAAGCGGAGCGTGCGTTGTAGAGAAAAGACCCTAGGAGAGCTGCAGAAGGTATTATAATGACAAGGGACAGATAGGCAGTGGGCTTAAATCCTGGAAGGATGAGTGAAATTTTAATAGCGGAAATGTGAAAAATTCCCATTAGGATTCAACAGCTGTGATTTGGGAAGAATTAAATATTCATAGAAAAATGTTGAAGGTGACCAAGTTAGGAACACAGATTGGTCCTGATGGTGGCGAACTTTAAATGCAAGTAAAGTAGTTTGAGAACTTTAAATACAGGAGAAGGGTTTTAAGACCAGGAGAGATTTAAGTAGCTTAGTCTCATGGTATTGAGTAGGGTGGGTTGGAAAGAAACTAGCTGAAGACACAGACTTCAGAAACAGCTTCCCTGTGTCCTCTACTCAATAAACACCTCCTCCGGGCCCAGCTCATCTGGACCCTTCCGTGAAGCATTCCAGGTCACAGTGTTCATGATCTGTCTCTCCTCCACACATCCATCACGCACTGTTCCTGTCCTGTAAACAACAACAGAGGGTACTGGTCTTTGTGACCCTGGGACCTAACAGAAAGTCTCCCAATAATACCCAAAAAATGATCACTGGGATAAAATCATAAGGATTTTATCTAGACAGGAAGAAATGCAAATGGAAAGAAATGGATGGGAAAGGGATTGAGAAAGAATTTGGATCTCGGGTTTGAGTAACAGGGAAAAAAATGATTTTATCATTAAGTGAAGTCCAAAAAAGAACTGATTGGAGAGAGGAAGCTAATTTTTCTTTTAGACACCTTGGGTTTGAGATCTAGTGTGATGTCCTGGTATAAATATTCACTAGATAGTGGGAACTTTGAAGAAAAGCCTCCAGAATAACCTCATTCATTGACTCGTTCTCTCTTTCAGGAAGGACTTTTGCTCTGTTCTCCCAGAGTAAATCTCAAGAGGGAGGTAAATAGGTGAATTTCTACCACATCCCCAGTCTCCATGTTGCAGACTCCCCATGACTGAAGGCCTGCCTTAGACTCCCTGAGTTCCCCAGCTCTGAGTGACCTTCACATTGGGGCATGGTGTTTTCCCCGCACCTGCTTTAGCACATCGTTACATGAATGTGCTGTCATTATCTTCATAGTTAAGGTGGGATGGGGAAGCAAATGACTCTTTAAAATAAAAATCAGGACAAAAGCTGATGATGTCCATGTGTCCTAGAAAAAGATCAGGATATTTGGATGACTACAAACCAAAGGTGTCAGAAATAGAATGCTCTAGTTTGAAAAGCAAATATGGTATTGAAATAGACAAGAACAGTATGTGAAAGGGCAAGAAGATCGTCCACGATTGAACACCAAGCATTGCTCAATGCTCCGTGCTTTTATTAGGAGCACCAGGATGAAATAGAGCCTCCCTGCAGGTGAAGGTGGCAGTCATCCTTTGGCTGCACTAACTCCTCCTCCTCAACCCTCTTCACTTGCTTAGACACGTTCTCCAGGCATGAGTCACACTCATGAGCGTCCCATTAGATGTGAACTTCCAGCAGAGACAATGCTGCTCCTCCCATCTTGCGCTGGAGGCTGGCCTGACCCTTGGCTGGATTTATTCAAAGTTTAAGGCAGTGGTTCCTCAATGCCATTTATTGTATAAACCATCTTTTCCATGCTGATTGGAAATACCTTGGGAATCAGGGATGCTCGGTGTAACGTTGTAATAACAAAAAAATTAGGGAAGGACACAAATTCTATCAGTACTGTGAAATAAACTGGTTCATCCACAGAATGGGGTTTTAAAAAAAAAAAGTACATGGATTCATAGGTACATACTCATCTTGTGGTCAAAGGAAAACCAGCAGAGGGTGTTGAGGTCAGGAGAGCTTCAGGAAGCTTATGCGGGTGATATATATGGAAGAGCCCAGTTTTGTTTATGTGAATATGTAGGTCTTTGGCTGAAAAAATACCTGAAAGGATCGACTGTGGTTACTTGGGGATGGGATTACAGACACATTTGCCTTGTGTTTTATACATTTGCATACACTTAGAATTTTTATAATGATCATTTATTACTTTTCTAACTGGAAAAAAAAGAAAATCTTTAAAATCCAGATCATTAGATATCATAGCACCCTCTAACTCTTACATTGCCGCATGTCAGTGCATGATAGCCAGCAGTGTACTTGATCTGAGCTCTCAGTCCCACCTCCCAGGGTCCACACTGGGATAATGAGAATGCAAGTTAGTCCTCACTAATAACGGGTTAATGCAGGCCTTTCCCTCCGCCACGTCTTCCAATCACACCATCATTGTTCCGCAGCACACCCAGTCTCCACTGGGGTCTAGCTCTGTATATGTGTACAATAAAGAGACCCGATGCTGATGCTCCAAAAATATGTTTTGTGATTGCCTTGCAGGGTGTTGCCTCCATGACCCAAGGCATAGTGGGCAGTTGGTGCAAACAGTTGCAGGCTCAGAGCTCCGGGGGTGGTGGGCATTGCTTAGACTCCCTGGTTGTTGTGCCAGTTGTCTTGTGGTTACTCACATACTGGGGCTGTCTGGGGAGAGCAGGACAGGCACCCAAGCGGGTCTGAAAATAGCTCGATTGACAAGGGGCGCATAGCCCAGGGTTTTATTGTGGTTAGGGGGTGAGGCCAAGGTGAGGATTCCCTTGCTGGGGCCAGGGCTTGCCTGGACTGCAGTTCCCCCTGGAGCCAAGAGAGGAAGCTCGTGAGCTTTCCTGCTGACCACACCAGATGCAGAGCGGGAGGGAAGAGGAGGGGGTGAGGCGTGAAGCTACGGGCATCAGACATAAAAATGAATTACATTCTTATTGACAGAATGTGATTGTGGAGTTGTGTGTCCTTTTTCTGTTATCTCAGTGTGTGTTGGAAACTGTCCCACTCGGGGGCCTGGTGAGGCCCAGGGTTCTGGACCCAACTGGAGTCTCAATGAGGGGACACTGGGTAGGTCTGGGCTACCTGGGGAGCTGGCATCTGCACCCTGGTCCAGGGCAGGTGGGTGCCCAGTCAGAGAGCGAGAATGGCTGTAGGGGGTCAAACCCACGGAAAAAGAAAGGCAGTTCAGGAGGGGAAGGCCAGAAAGTTCCCAATCTTGGGGTATGGGGGAGCCCCCCTTTCATGAATGAAGTCTTAGGACCAAGTGAGTAGAGGCGGCCACTCAGGAAGCTCCCCCAGTTAAGACAGAGACAAGCACCATCTAGCAAAGCAAGGGAATTTTGACTTTAGCTGAATGGTGAGTTTTTAGAATGGGCAAAACATTTCTGTCCCTCACGCCTTGCCCAGGTCCTCCCGCTTGTGTTAGGGACACGTGAGGGTGGTGACAGGGCTTCTCTCCTCACATGTAACTGACTCCCATGCCCTCAATCCTTTGCTCCAGCTCTGGATTGCCTATTTCCTGCCTTTTCACCACTGAGAGGGATAGTGCCGCAGGCGGGCACAGGCGGAGGGAAGCCCCTTCCTGACTGTAGCTTTAGTGCAGGGAAACATTTCCTTGTGCTGTGGAGCCCCACACTGTCTGCCTGTGGCCAGGAGTGGAACCTGCTACTCCTGCAGGTCTTTTTTTTTTTTTTTTTTTTTTTT